TACCTATACTTCATAGGATCCATTCATTCCAAATGTATATATGGCATGACACCACTGCCAGGCACTATTCTAGGGGCTGGGAATACATCAACCAAAAAAAGAGATTAAAATTTTGGCCCTTGTGGCTGTCAGAATTATGTGCTCAAATAAACATAAGGTATTTAGACCAGCATTGGACACCCAGTAAGCAACAAAATACATTGTTGTTGCTTCTGTTAGTCTCATTAACTAACTACTCATGTATCTTCACATGAGACACAGTGCCTGGAACACAGTAATCAATAATATTGTTGAGCTGAATTGAACTAGATGGTCAGATCATGGCATAGTAAATAATGTCCTGCTCATATATATTAAAAATCTTGAATTCATCTTTATATGGCCCTCTGAGAGTCATGTTGAACATCCATAATATTAATTATAAAAATATATTATGCCTGAAAAGTATAGGACAGAATTTCTCTGGTGGTCCAATGGTTAAGAATCCACCTTCCAATGCAGGGGGCATAGGTTCGATCCCTGGTCAGGGAACTAAGATCCCACATTTCACAGGACAACTAAGCCCACATGCCACAACTAGAGAGACTGAGAGTTGCAGTGAACAATCCCACATAAGACCCAAGGTTGCCAAATAAATAAATGTTCCAAGTAAATATTAAGAAAAAAAAAACACAAGAAAAGAAAACCAAATGTTCTACCCATTGTGTCAACAGGGGAAACTACATCTTGCAGTAAATGAGTTGGGTTTGACCCTCTGCAGATTCCATCTCAGCAAAAACATTATACCAGGGCAAGCCTGCATCCAGCTTACTTGTTCTGAGCATTTCCAAATTTGCCGAAGGGATCCCCAGCCTGTCCTCCATCCCCAGTGAATATGTACATATAGCCATCTAGGCCAAAAAGAAGTTGTCCACCATTATGATTTGAGGCTGGTTCTTCTATCTCCAAAATGACCCTGAAAGGAAAAAGAAACCATGCTTTGATGAAAGCTGATACAGCATCCTCTTGAGAAATCCAGAAATTGACTGGTCCAAGCCAGCCAAGGACCACAAAACAGGTAGCTCAGTAGCTCTGGGACACCCCTTGCTTCCTAGTATGATTCCCATCATGGATCATTTTTCTTTCACATCCTGACTTCACGAGCTGTAGACACAGCAGGGTAACCATCACCCTTTTCTAGTGCTCAGCCTTACTCTCAGCTCTACAAGAACCCCCAGTCCCTTCCTTTGGACAATCTAGCAGGGGTTAGTCTATCACTTCTTCATGCTCTTTTCAACCTCTAAACCTGTCTGTATGGGAAAAGCGAGACAAGGCAGAATGGAGTAGGAAAAAAGGGTGGAATGGTGGAGCAAAAGAGCATGAGCTTAGGGTCGGTTAGAGCCGGGCCCTTCATCTGACCAGGCTTAATTATCTTGTGTCAAGCTTTCCAGAGAGGATGGGAATTCCCATGCTCAAGATAAAAGGTCTGAGATCTAATGGTGACACAATAATCAGAGGCTACTGTTATATTGAATGTGGATATTATCGAAAATCATTTCTCAAACCCTCATGGCCTCTGGCCTTTGCTTACCCTCTATAAAATCAAGCAAGCATGGTTCTAGGTAATTTTAAAGATGGGTGGTTATAGTTATGAAGACCATCCACTCGAGATTCTAACTTGGGTTAACCCCACTAATCAGCAATGACTCTTGTCATCATTATAAGCTAGTAGATCTAAACCCAGGAAAGTTCCACTATCTCATCTCAGAGCACCGACTGGCAATATTTTTCAACACAGCACACAGTTGCAGATTTTCATGCGTATGCCTCACCTCTCTGATTTGGGATCGGCTTTGTTGGGATCAGCCCGAGAAACCTTCATCTCACTAATCCGGATCTTTTCTACCCTCTTCTTGCCCAGACATGAATAATAAATGTAGAACTTCCGGTTGCGGCGGAATCGGGGATGAAAAGCCAACCCCAAAAAGCCTCTCTCGTCCCCAATCCAGGGGGTGGTCAGCACGAGGCTCTTGAGGTCCAAGAAGGGTTGTTCCAGGCGACTCCCATCAGGCAGATAGACCCACACCATCCCCACCTGCTCGGCCACGAAGAAGCGGTGGGTGCCGTCCCCAGCGTGGACCATGGAGACCGGGTTCCTCAGCCCGTTGGCCACCTCGGCCAAGCAGAGCTGCAGGCAGCCCCGAGGGTCCTCGGCCACCACCCCCAGGTTGCGGTTGAGATGGTCTCTCCTCAGGATGTTGGGGAAGCAGTAGTCCTTGTCGGGAAGGTTGAGGAGGTGGCAGAAGCGTGTGCCATCCTTTCCGGGGGATTCCTGGAGGCGGCGGTCGTTGGTCAGCAGGGCGATGGCGGAGTGGCAGTTCGAGTGGAATGCAGAACAGTAGTCAGAGCAGAGGCCAGGAAGGTTCCGGAGGGGCGTGCGTGGGTTCTCAGCATCATAGAGGTGGGCTGCGTAGGGCGAGCACTCCTGGAAAAGAAGAGCAGCCTCAGCCCCCAGGCAGACTGGCCATGGTAGGGCTGGAACCAATTTTTCTCTTTTCAAGGATTTGACTTTTTTTTTTTTTTTAAGAGTTTTTAAACCTTGACTTCGCTTTGATTTTATTAGAAAAGTATTTCCTTCTTGATGCAATATACTTATTTTAATTTTTTAAAGTCATACCTGTGTGGATGTTCTAATCAACTTTATGTTTTTAGCAAAAAGAGGGGAAACAGGTCTGGGGAAGAACCGGGATTCTGGAGCTCCTGTTACCAACTACTGAAAAAGAAAGCTCTTCTTTGGGACCCACATTTTCTACCCAGTTAATGCTCCTGGAAAGCAGAAAGGGGAGGAAATTCTCTTGGATTTCCTATAACTTTGTTCTCGACATATAGAGTTTTGTTAAATGATCAATTTTTTAATTAAAAAAAAATTGGGATCCTAGTTCCCCAACCAGGAATGGAACCCATACCCCCTGCAGTGGAAAAACAAAGTCCCAACCACTACTAGGGAAGTTCCATTCAAAATATTTTATGATTTAAAACTAAAATTATCAAAATGACATGCAATGTATCATCCCCAGAGATTAGGCATGTAATGATTTCTTCCCTTATTTGTTAAAAATATTAAAGTGTTTAATATATACACAGCGCCATGCTGGGAGCTACACAAATTTAAATTGTGGCTGTGGGGCCATACAACTGCTCTTTACAAATATACAAGGACTGTGAACAAAGGAGTACCCATTAGTCAGACCTCCCTAAGTCATAGAGTTTTCTAGGAGGAAAATAGAAATTGTAGGCTGACAGTCAACTTTCAATAGTGATGAAAGGCAGAGGCAACTGCGATCAGGAAAGTAAGAAAGGCCCGTTTTTGTTTGCTTTGTTTTGTTAATTTTTGGCTGCGCTGGGTCTCCGTTGCTGCGTGGGCTTTTCTTTAGTTGGGTGCGTAGGGGCTACTCTCTCGTTGTGGTGCGTGGACTTCCCACTGCAGAGGTGTCTCTCTCATCATGGGCTCTAAGATGAGTGGGCTCAGTAGCTGTGGCACATGGGCTTAGTTGCCCTGCTGCGTGTGGAATCTTCCTGGACCAGGGATTGAACTCATGCCCCCTGCATTGGCAGGCAGATTCTTAACCACTGGACCACCAAGGAAGCCCAGAAAGCCCAGTTTAAAGGGGGTGGCTGGGGCCGTGGAGTAGGGCACGGTCTACTCTGGAACCTACTTCTGATCACGGACGCCTCCCCTGGCACCTGCCAGCGCGGGCTGTCTCATTCACGTCTGTTCTCTCATCACCTGAGAGAGGGATCAGCAGCATTTCTCAGATAGGTTGAGTTCCCCATTCTTTCTTATTTCAACCCTGATTGCAGATTTGCAGAGCAGCAGGCTTTTATCGGGAAGAGCAGAAGAGCGAGCCCAGGGATTCACAGCATCTCTCCCAGAGCTGTTTTCATTTAGGAGACTTATCAGAGTTGCTGACAAAAAGCCAGATGAACTGCTCTGAGTCCCACCTGACTGACCTGTCCACTTCTGGGGAATGGAAAGAAGAGAGACGGAAGACAAAAGTAAGAATGAAATACCCGGGAACAGAGGAGGCTGTGGACAAGTAAGCACGTGCACGGCACACTGTTAGGCATCATTTAGAATCTGCACAGTTGCCTCTACTCAATCGGCTCAGGAACTATCATTTCCGTCTTAGAAAACAAAGGCCCAGGAACACTCTCTCCTAGGTGCCAGGCACTGTCTCTGCCCTGGGGCTGCTGAGATGCCCAAAGTCGCTGTCCTGCTGGTTCTTATGCTTGCCCCAGGTCAGGGAACCAGTTAGTGGATCGGCCAGGGCTGTTGTAAGTTGACTTTGGCATGGTGTGATCAAAAGGGCATGAGCCTTGGAGTCTGAGCCTCTGGATTTGTGCAGCACTCTTTGACCTTGATAGTGAAAGTGAAAGTCACTCAGTCATGTCTGACTCTTTGCAACCCCACAGATAGTAGTCTATGGAATATCTCCAGGCCAGAATACTGGAGTGGGTAGCCATTCCTTTCTCCAGGGGATCTTTGAAACCCAGGGATCGAACTGGGGTCTCCTGCATTGCAGGTGGATTCTTTACCAGCTGAGCTACCAAAACTCCTAATTCTGGGACTTCCCTGGTAGTCCAGTGGCTGAGACTCCCTGCTCCTAGTGTAGGGAGCCTGGGGTCGATCTCTGGTCATGGAACTAGATCCCACATGCCGCAACTAAATATATAAATGTTATTTTTAAAAAAACCTCATGAGTAAAATGGGGGTCCTAATAGCTGCCTGCAGAATCATTGCTGGGAACATAGTACAATTTTGGGGAAGAAAGAGGGAGAAGAAATTTAAATTGTGAATTTTCATAAATATTAATAGATGCATGTAAGTCATTGTTTTTGTTTTGCTTTGCATTTTTTAAAATTATGTACTTATTTTTCACTGTGCTCAGTCCTCCTTGCTGCACAGGCTTTTCTCTAGCTGCCGAGAGCGGGGGCCACTCTCTAGTTGTGGTGTGCAGGTTTCTCACTGCTGTGCCTTCTCTTGTTGCAGAGCACAGGCTCTAGGGTGCGTGGGCTCAGTAGTTTCCACTGCCCAGCTCTAGAGCACAGACTCAATAGTTGTGGTGCAGAGATGGCTCTGCGGTATGTAGGGTCTTCCCAGATCGGGGACTGGACCCGTGTCTCCTGCATTAGCAGGCGGATTCTTTACCACTGAGCCACCAGGGTATTCCCTGTTTTCAATTTTGTTGAAGCATAGTTGATTTACGATGTGGTGTTAATTTCTGCTCTATAGCAAAGTGATCCAGTTATGCATATGTATATTCTTTTTCATATTCTTTTCCTTTATGAAGATGCGTAGGTTATTCTTATTCCTCAAATCCCTGAAAGAGGAGAGCTGCTGAATTTGGCTTTCTGAAACCTCATGCAATAGGGAAGGGGAAGGAAGGAGGGAGGGAGGGAGGAGACATTTTTATCTGGGGACTTCATCCAGAAATGGAGTCTCAGCGTTGCTCATAAGAGCCGGGTTTCTGCTCGGATGGTTATCTCAGAGTTAATTCTCCAGGAAACAGCTAAAGGGTGGAGCCCGAGGTGAGAGAGGACAGCCCGGGGCGATGCCTCCCCAGGTGGCTGGCTTCTGGGCTGGGTTCTGTTCCATTCACTGCACGGGGAGGTGGGGTGGCCAGCTGGCTCTGGGATCACAGTGAGAGAGCCAAGTAATTGCACTGACATGCCCGGGAGGGTCTCCAATCTGCCTGGATTTACTGTCTCACCCCCAACCCATCACTGGAGCGCTCCTCCTCATGGCAGCCTCTTTCATCTGCCCTCCAACTAGACTCTCCCCAGCACCCCTGAACCCCTCTTCCCACAAAGTCAGTGTCCGCAGCCAGCATCCGACATGGGTTCAGGCTGAGCCCTACAGAGGTGCTGTCTGCCAGGGATGTGGGTTTTGGCCACTGGAGAGCCGGGAGAAGCAGAACCTCTGAGTAATTGCCACTGAGCAGCTTGAAGCTCTCCCAGGCCAGGTTCGGAAAGCTGGGGAGAGCCCCCCTCATCACACCAGAGAGCCCCTGGTGCAAATGACCCAGCCGAGGACTGCATCCCAACAGATGCCACCACTCTGTCCACACGCTCCGTGAGCACCCACGGGAGCTCACAGCTCTCAGAGCCCTGCAGGGAGGTTCCAGACTGCAGCTGTCCCCAGAGCTCTGTGAATAAGACACCAGGGCCTGCAGAACCCCGGAGGGAGAGCTTGAGGAACCAAACTCCACCTCAGTGTGCCGGTCCAGAGCCCAAAACCCCAGGTGAAGGCAGCCACAGGTGAGTCTCTCTCAAGGGCTGGGCACCCAAAGAGCCTCCCCCCAAGACCCTCACCAGCCAACCCAACATCCTATCAGTTGGGACTGGAATCCAGCCTCCAAAGTTGGCCCCCTCACCTTCCCTCAGGGCTCCTGCTCAGGCCTACCTGGCAAAGGATGTCTTTAATGTAACCGCCGCACAGCTCGTGGCCCTTTAGGTCGAAGTATTCCATGATGTCCCAGTACCGGGCAGCGATGCGGTGGTCCTTATGCTGGTCACAGCAGCCGAAGGACTCGTAATCAGAGCAGAACTCAAGATGCTGGAGGGGCTGGAAGGGGGGCCGGTAGTCCAGGCACTGGGGGTGTCCCTGCAGCAGCCCTCCCTGGCCCAACAAGACTATGAGGCTGAGACAGAAAATTCGAGGAGAGGTAAGGAGCCAGGGGGTCCACCAACTCCAACTACCCCTAGGAATGGACCTTCTGAGCATCTTGCCCTAGGGACACTCCAGCTACTGCCTGTTCAGGCTGGCTTCCTGCTCCTGGCTGGTTCCCTCACTCCCGCCCTCGCTGTTTTTCTTCCTTCCTTCTCTTCTCTCCTCTGAAGGTTCACTGAGGTGGTTTCTGAGCCATGTCCCTTCTGGGAGCTGGACCGCTGTCTCCTGTGAAAGCGGTGAGCAGCGTCCGGTCCCTTCCAGTCCCCTAAACAGGAAACTGGTACAGCCTGCTGGCCAGTGTAGTTATCCAGGTGCCAGCAGAAAGGTACAGTGAAGCCCACGGCAGATGAACTGAGTTTATTAAAACTGCAAAGAATTCCTATGGGAAATTCCCACTTTGTTTACAGCCCCGTTCCCAAGCTGAGCAATCAGGAACTCCAAGAACAGCACACAGGACATGGTCCTGGACAGCACATTGGAAGGCGGTGTTCCAACGCGCCTTTTGTGCCAACAGCAACACGGGGAACTGGGGTGGGGATCCGGGAAGACGGAGGCGAGGTGGGGCAGGCAGTGGGGCCCTGCAGTTCCCGAGACCCAGAAAGGTATGTATTCTGAGGGGTAGGAAGACAGGACATTTCACAAATCAAGAGGAGATGGTGAGTCATAACTATCATGGTGATCATTTTGGAATGTATGGAAATCACTACGTTATGTAAAAGGAACTAACATAGTGTTGTATGTAGATCAATATATTTCAAAAACAAACTCACAAAAAAAGAGATCAGATTTATGGTTATGGGGGGGATGAGGAATTGGATAAAGACAGTCAAAAGGTACAAACTTCCTCCTTATAATACAAATACTAGGGACGTAATGTACAATATGATAAATAAAATTAACACCTATATGTTTTATATGAAAGTTGTTCAAAGAGTCATCCTTGAATTCTCATCACAAGAAAAAAATTTTTTCCTATTTCCTTAACTTTGTATCTATATGAGATGATGGATCATCACTGAATTTATCGTGGGCATCATTTCATGATGTATGGAAGTCCAATTATTATGCTGTATACCTCAAACATCTAGTTCTATAGCTCAATAAAACTGAAAAAAAGAGATGGGGAAGGAAAAGGAGAGGTTCACACCTAGTGTAAACAAGGCATCAGCAAGGACTCTTTGGGATGGTTTCATCAGGAAGCACAGAGTATCTGGGTTATTTTTGCCAAATCTATATTTTTGGGGGGGCAGCCCTCCTCACTTAGCATGTGTTTCAACATTAGCACTGATGAATACTAATACACATTTTGCTTTATCAGAGAAGGAAATGGCAATCCAGCCCAGTGTTGTTGCCTGGAGATTTCCATGGATGGAGGAGTCTGGCGAGCTACAGTCCACAGGGTCAGAAAGAGCTGGACGCGACCGAGCAAGTTTTGCTTTATACATGTCCCTTACACATAATGGGTCTTTGACAAATATTTCTTGAATGTGTGATGAAGTACACAGAATCCAAAACTCAACCCCAAATGGAGGCATGAACAGGAGTTGAGGCTCACAGGAGACATTTGGTACCTAAGCTCACTTTCCTTTGGGTTTTTTCCACAAGTTTACTCCACCCTGAAATGTCCTTACTGGCAAATACTGCCCTCTGAAATGCAGATGAAGTCAAAGATTCTTCTGGATGGAGGAGGGCTCCCCATCTGGCACCCCCTTTACCACCAAGAGCCTTTGCCAGAGCATCACCAAGAAGGGACACTGAGCCTCAGTCTAGCCAAGTCTGTGCTCACGATGCTTTGGATTATGAAAGCCCAGAGTAGCTTTTAAACTATGTTTTTATAACCATGAGAAAAGTCAAGAAGAGGGACTCATTAGAATGACTCCCCAGCACAGCCCTGCTCTCCCATGGGTATGGCTCAATATCATACTTTGTTGAATGTCACTTTTTAAAACATACATAACACAGCATCTGTAATTCATTGGAACTGTGCTGATTCCACAGGGTTGTTTGCTCAAAGGTCAGATAATGTCATCACTTGGGAAGCCTTGGGAGGGAGGAACTGCTCTTGGACCAACCTCAGCCAGTGAATTCACAGCCCTGAGACCTTCTCAGAAGTGGGAGGGGACCAGCTGCCCTGTAATGTACGAGAATGAATGCATTCTCTCATTCCATGTAGGACCTAAGAGTACTTTTTGATTCTTTACTGACGTTTGTGTCAGTTTTCCTTTTGCCAGGAAAAAAAAATTGAGTCCAAAGGAATGCCTCCTTTTTGGAAAATAATTTTAATGATTCTGTTTACAGAATTATGGCTAAACATTAAAAAACTTATACATAATTAAACACAAATCTATGTAAGTTCAAGTTGGATCTTACTGTTTGGGGCAGTGATTATAAAATTAGCAGGGAAAGATTGGTTTGCAGGTCCCATCAGAATTAATGACAGCATGAATTTCTGATTATTAAAATATGCAATGTTTCAAGTGGGACTGCATAATATTTTAGATATAATTACATGATATGTTTGGTTATATAATAATGATGCAGTAATTAATTTTATAACAAATGTCTCAGTGTCAATTCGGTAGGTTTTTATGATTATGTGCAAAGGATTATACTGGAAGAGGAATGTTGAACAGAAAACTGATGCATGAAGTAAACTTTTTCAAGAAGTTTATTCTCTGAGAAGAAACGTTAAAATAAGTGTCTAAATAATACAAGGCGCATTATATTGAGATAATAAGGAAGGAACAAACTGCTAGAGGATTCCAAGGAGGAAGAGATGACATCAGGCTTGAGGGAATGAAGGAAAAAATCATAAAGGTTGAGCAGGGTATTGAAGGTACAGGTGGGAAGAATGGACACCAGTTTCTGACTGTGAGGTAAGCCTAGGAGATAAACCTGGAACCACGACAGGGCCCAGACCAAGTATCTGAAATTACTTTAGCTCTCACTTTTGAAGCAAACATGGTATTTTCTAAAAATTACTGTATTAGTTTGCTAGGGCTGCTATAAAAAAGTACCACAAACTGGGGGTCTTCAACAACAAGCATTTATTGTTTCACAGCTCAGGAGACTGGAAGTCTGAGATCAAGGTGTCGGCAAGGTGGGTTCCTTCTAAGGGGCAGGAGGGAGAATCTGGCCCACGCCCCTCCCTTAGCTTTTCAGGGTTTACCAGCAGTGTTCTACATTCTTTATAGATACATCACCCTGATTTCTGTCATTGTGTTCACATGACTTTCTTTCTCTGTGCATGTCTGTGTCCAAATTTCCCTTTTTCATAAAGAAATCAGTCAGATTAGAGCTCACTTTAATGATCCTATTTTAACTTGATTACCTCCGTAAAGACCCGACCTCCAAATAAAGTCACATTCTGAGGTACTGAGGGTTAGTATTTCAATATATCATTTTATATATATAAAATATATATATATGCACCCACACACTGGCATGCACATGATGTTTCATAAGACAAGTGCCTTTTAAAAATGAGGTTAAGAATCTGGTGTTTATCTCAGAATCAGGTCATGGAATAGAATAGAAAAAACATAAAAAGCAGTGTTCCAGCTCAGTAACCTCTCATACAACGTTTACTGCTTTCTCTGGCATCGGCTTTCTCTAACAATCTGAAAATGAGCAGGTGTGTTTGAGCTTAGGGAAAGTATTAATAACTCTTATTTGTATTATGTATTATAGTGTATGAACCATTTTCTCACTTCATCTCAGGTGATCTTCACAATAACTCTATTAGTTAAACAGGGCAGATATTCCATTACCAATGTACAGACAAGTGACTTCAGTCTCAGATTCCATGAAACATTTTGGGTCATGCTTTAGGTGAAGGAAAAAGATGGCACAAAAATTTAGGTGTTCCAAGTTATAGCCCAGATATTGCTCACTCCATCATGATGTATAAAAGTTGGGTTTTTTTAAATATAGCAATAATTTTACTTGTCTCTATTCTATAGGTAAAGAAACTATGAAAGCTTATGATAAACCCAGCATTCAAACCTAAGTCTCTTGAGGTCTGTACTTAGCAGAAATTCACCAAAATACTACTGCCTATGGTACAGGCACACTCAGTCAATAACTTTCATAAGTGTTCATTCAGTTCTATTCAATATTTAATAAGCCAGAAATCCTGTTAGGTGTTGGTGATATGGAGAGTATTAGTGTTAATCACTCAGTCATGTCCGACCCTTTGCAACCCCTGGACTGTATTCTGCCAGGCTTCTCTGTCCATGGGATTTCCCATGCAAGAATACTGGAGTGGGTTACCATTCCCTTCTCCAGGGGATCTTTCAGACCCAAGGATCAAACCTAGGTATCCTGCATTGCAGGTGGATTCTTTACTGTCTGAACCACCAGGGAAGCCCAGATAACATACTACTGAGAACGACAGATGTACAAAGATCATTAAACAATGCGGTGACCTGACAACAGGCTGCAGGGGAGGGATTGGTGAGGACAGAGAGGGAACCTTCCATGCCCAGGAGACGGGAAAGGCGATGGTTCCCCTGTATTCTTTTCCCTGATCCCTAGCTCAGGGCTCTGCAGGTGACTATAAACACTGACTAACCTGGTAGGCGGTACACATACCACAGGCAGTCTGTGATCTTTGGAACTACGCTGATTGATTTAGAGTCCTGATGCCAACACCTACTAGCTGTGACCTTGGGTAAGTTACTTAATCTCTGACTACCCCACTTTCCTTCTTGGTAAGATAGAAGATAGTTCATAGGATCATCTCACAGTGATGAGATGATAAAATATGAAGCCCAAAGTGCTTGATAAACTTTAGCCATTATTATTCATGAAACTGGCTTTTAGTGGGCTTAAGAAATTTTCAGTTGATTCACACTGCTCTCATTGCATAATGAGATACAAACATTTGATAACCATATGTACTCATTTCTCTTTCATTCTCACCTCCATCCTGCTAGAGATCAGGAGAATTCATAAATCCTATTTCAGAGCTTTTGACTAAAGGTATCAGAGAGTAGATGGGATGTGGACATCCCTACAGGGTTAATCCGATATGGAACTCCTGTACCACCCAAGCATGGCCTCCCAGTGGTAAAGCCAACCAGGGTCACTGGTAGCTTTCACTTGCTTTACTTTGGTTCTGTTGGGCACCTGCTTGTCTGACATACATAGTATAAGGTTGGGTAGTTATTTGTTGATGGTCATTTATGAAGTATAAAATATCAAGTTAAATTACTGCCAAAGTGTAATTTGTCTCCTAATTTTCTCATGGACGGTTTGAAATTAGTAGGAATATAAGCCAAGAGTGGGCTTCCATGGTGGCTTAGATGATAAGGAATCTGTCTGCAATGCAGGAGAGCTGGGGTTCAATCCCTGGGTCAGGAAGATCCCCTGGAGAAGGAAATGGCAACCCACTCCAGTATTCTCACCTGGGAAGTCCCATGGACAGAAGAGCCTGGTGGGCTACAGTCTATAGGGTCACAAAGAGTCAGACACAATTGAGAGACTAATGCTTTCGCTTTCAAGCTTAGTGAGGAAATAGCAG